TGATAATAAATACAACTTCAGAAAACAATAACCAAGAAGAGAAAGAGTAAGCAATTATCTAATTCTTGAGAACTGAGAGTGAAAATCCAAACAAAATTCATGACAGGATGAAGAAGCAGTGTCAAGGACATTTGCAATTGCTACAGCAGGATTTTGCAAATGGATTTATTGGCATGAAGTTCTCTATAAGCATTAATGGAGAAATGGTATGCATATTCTGAACACAATGGGCATTATGTTGAAAAATGCAGTACTTTCAATAAAATTTCCACATATTTTTATTGGGAAAAAAAATTTAGTTCCTTTTTAAATTTCCTTCACACATTACACAGAAAATCTGCACACCATTCCAGAGTTACAGGCTGCAAACAATATTAACATATACCCTGAGAAGTGCTGCAAAAGTATGTTCAGACATACTTTCTACAAGAACCAATGCAATAAGCGAAGAGAAAACTTTAGTACACAATGACTTTTTAAACACTCTACAGAAAGCATCTAGTTCAATAACTTAAAAAAAGGAGAGGGAGAGAGACTTATATAAACAAGTGGAAAAGCTAGAGAATTTTGATTGTCAAAAGAAGAGAACTAGATCTTGCCCGTTGTAAGGCAGATTAAATATCTACCTGGTTACTAAATATTTCCTACAACTGATGGCAGAATTTGCAAATCTTTTCTCTTACTCTTCTAACATGCCCTTATTTAATGACATTCACTTTTTACACATCCACAGTTTTTTTACAATAATATGCTACTAAACTTTCCAAACATAATTTAAATATTTCCCATTTCCTGTTAACTTCTGAAGATATCCGCCATTGTGGCATTTAAAATTTATTCAGAATAATAAATTGACTTGAATTTTACTCAAAATCTCAATAACTGGGGTTTGACTGATTTTTAATCTATGAAAATGAATCATCAAGTGTTTCCATTAGTTTCAATATATTTCATGAAAGAAGAATAATTACATATTGAAAAACCAGCAAAAGAACATCAGTGAAGATCAGCAATTAAAGTTAGGGAGGGAAAAAGCCCATCACTTTTTCTCTTTGGATTAAAGCTTTGAGTTCAAGATAAAAAGTATATTTCAAGTTAAATCTCCCATATGTATGCTACATAATCAAGAAAACAGACAATAGAGATGAACGGCACATCTTGCATATTATACACAAATACATACTATAGACCAATTACTTACGAAAGACTCTTTTATGAATTAGGATAAAATACGAGGGTTGGGGCAAAAGTCATGGCAACTATTTTTCTCTTGTAGATATGTGAATGGATCACAAATTGTATATGTGTCGTGAGGAAGTTCTGCAGGCATAGTGTGTATGCAGAACAACAGATGGCTCTGTGAGCTCACCAACTGACTGATTTCAGAGCCCTCTGTGATAGCAAGGGCTCTGAAATCAGTCAGTTGGTAAATGTCGTGCGAGATGGAAGTAACCCGTGTTGAGCAGCGCGCTTACATCCAAATAGCCATTCTCCAAGGAAGAAATGCGATGGAATGTCACAGTGAATTAGTAGAAGCCCTTGGGAATAATGCCCTACTGTAGCATACAGTAGCACGGTGGGTAGGAAAGTTTCAGCAAGGATGTGTGTCAACCAGTGATGAGCAACATTCGGGACGACCGGTGAGTGTGCGGACCGACATGGCACGTGCCGTCATCGAGCACCGCATGGATGAAGACAGACGATGGACGTTACTGGAATTAGAGAGGGTAAGCGGCATCGAGGAACGCACCGTCCACAGGATATTGCATCATGAGCTACAAGCTACGCAAATCGCTTCGCGGTGGGTACCGCATGCGGTGGGTACCGCATGCTTTGACGGAAGTTCAAAGGAGGGTGCGCTATGCAATATACTCTGACCACTTTGCACACTGGCAACAGGACGGCGATCAATTCTTGTCACAAATAATCATCATCGGTAAATTTTGGGCCAAGGCATACGAAGCAGAACTGAAACGTCAGTCCGCGGAGTGGCATTATGTTGGATCACCAAGGCAGCAGGTCCGTCAGAATCCTTCTCCAGTCAAAATGATGGTGATCGTTGCGTATGATGTCGGGTGTCATTGTTTGCCACTTTGTTCCTCATAGCAGAACAGTAACCGGACAGTACTACAGGGACTACCTGGTGCGACAGGTACGACGTGGCGTTCGAGGATAAACGTCAGGATCTCGTGTGGACAGTGCAATAATTCTGCACGACGTAATGCAAGACCACATAAAGCAGAGATGTGTACGGCAGCTACTCCGACGTTAGTGATGGGGAAGAATTGGAGCACCCACCGTACTCTCCTGACCTTCTTTCCTGTGACTTTGATCTCATTCCCAAGATTAAGGAACCAATACGTAATAGGCAGTTTGCAACACGAGAGGACATTGTTAATGCTGTGCGCCAACAAATGACCCGAATCACATATGGTGTGGCAAATGCTGAGGCTGACGGCATTCAGTGTCTCCCACATCGTTGGCAGAGTATGGTGACAGTAGCAGGGGACTACATTGAGGGTCTTTAAGGACCAGGTTTGTCATGTCAACTTAATGTGTACAGTAGACTGCGGATTATGCGCGAGCGGATTATCCGCGCCTGCCGCACAAAGTTTTTTTTTTTTTACAAGCGTAAAGCAAAGAAAAGTTCACAAAACTGAGTGAAACGTTAAATTTGCTAAACATCGTGCTTATTTATGGCAAAATATCCCAGGCCTTCTCAGAACCTTCCTCTCTGATGAGTAAGTGATTTCTTACTTACCCTTGCAGTGCCTGCTCCACGGCCCTCTCTCGTCTTAATCTTACTGATACGTCCACTTCCTCCCACTCGCCATTGTTAGATTAAGCCGGATAGTGTTAGCGAACCGGTCGGAGTTAATTTCTTATCTTTTATTGTGTTCAGTGCTTGATTAGTTTTGTGTTTTTCGTTACCGATTTAAAATGTCAGGAAAACGAAAGAAGGTTGTGTTGACGATTGCGCAAAAACTAGAATTAATTTCCAAAGTAGCAAATGGCGCTACAAGGCAGCAGATGGAATTGGATTACGGAATCGCGGAAACAACAGTGCGTGACATTCTAAAGCAAAAAGACAAACTGGTGAACTTTGCATCAATGTCGGACAGTGCTTCCGCAATGAAAACGCGAAAAACTATGAAGGGTTCTACCTTTGATGAGCTAGACACGGCATTGACAGAGTGGTTAGCTCAAGTTCGAAAAGAGGGTACTCCTGTAAATGGTCCTATCATTGCGGCGAAGGCAAAAACCTTTTTTGAGTTGTTAGGCCTGAAAGGAAATTTTGATGCGTCTTCTGGCTGGTTGACTCGTTTTAAGCAGCGACATGGAATTCGAGAAATTGGACTTCATGGGGAGAAACTTAGTGGTGACCAACAAGCAGCCGACGATTTCCACCATGAATTTGAAGAATTTGTTTTAAAAGAAGAGCTATCTTTTGAACAAATTTACAATGCCGACGAATCGGGACTTTTGTGGTGAAAATGTCTTCCCACTCGCACTTTAGCATTTGAAAGTGAAAGTAAAGCGGCGGGTCATAAAAGCAGCAAGGAAAGGATCACTATCATGTCTTGCAGTAACGCTACCGGTGGACATAAACTTAGACTTGTTGTCATTGGAAAGTAAAAAAAAAAAAAAAAAAAAAAAACCGAGATCTTTCAAAGGCACAAGGATAGAAAATTTGCCCGTTGATTACTTTAACCAAAAAAAAAAAAAAAAAAAAAAAAAGATGGATGAACCGAAACATTTTTCAAGAATGGTTCGAAAAAATCTTTGTTCTTCAAGTGCGTAAACATCTTAAATCGAAAAACCTGCCTGAAAAAGCTGTGCTATTGATCGACAACGCACCTTCTCACCCAGCAACAAGTCTTCTGATGGACAAATTTTTGCAAAGTTTCTCCCCCCCCAAACGTTACTGCGCTAATCCAACCCATGGACCAAGGAGTCATTGCAACAATGAAGAGAACATACCGAACCAAGCTGCTAATGACCAAAATTGAAGAAGGTTATGATCTGAAAGAGTTTTGGAAACACTACACAATCTTGGACAGCATCTACGATATTGCATCTGCATGGGACTCAGTGAAACCGTCAACCCTCATAAAATCATGGAGAAAACTCATGCCTAATGTTGAAGCCAACAACAACCTAACCCCTTTGAGTTGTGAAGAAGTGAATGAAGATGTAGACACGCCTACAGCGACTCTTGCCGATATGCTGAAAACAGTTCCAGGTGGTGAGAACGTCGATGCTGAAAACATTAACGAGTGGCTGGAGTGTGACGTCAACGAACCTGGCTTCGAACGCTTGACAGATGAAGAAATTGTGAAGAAAGCAAGGGAAGAGAACGAGAATGAAGGAGAGCGAAGTGAAGGCGAAGAAGAGCCCACTGTGCAGATGCAGAAGCTGCTTTGCAACAAGTCGACGGACTGCTGAGCTATTTGGAAGAACAAGACGACGCGGAGTTGGCCGAAAAACTTATGCTATGAAAAATGCAATCTCGGATCAAGAGAAAATGCTTTCAAAGCAAGAAGCAATCACAAATGACTGATTTCTTCAAAAAGGTGCAGTTTTAATGTTATGCTTTTGTAATTACATAATACATTACAGTATTAAAACAGTACATATGTATTAATTTTTCTGTGTATCCTTGACGCCTCTCGTAAGTACAAAGCACTTTTCTGTTTTCATTAACAAAATGCATTTTATTTAGGTTAGTTTTGAGTGATATACTAAAATATTAAGCGTTAGTTAAACATTTCCTGCTGTTTATTTTACGTTTTATTGTACATAAAACGATTTTTCAAAGTTGGAATGACTGTTTTCTCTTTTGCTATACCCGTTTTTAGCTTTTTTCGGATTATCCGCGATTTTTGTTATCGCGGCGCCGCCACCCAATTCCGCGATATCGGGTGTGATTTGTATCATCTTTGCAATTGCCCGTATACTACCATAATAATTGGTTTCTATTCGTGCATTCATTACCAACATTAGTTAAGATTGTCTTTCATCTGTATATGTCACATTTTCCAACCGGACTGGTATCTTCAAGGGAAAAAATAGTTGCCATGACTTTTGCCCCAACCTACGTATATTTTCTTTTAAACTACAAGCTAAATCATTTATAATCACAGACATAATCTCAGTGACGTGACTTACTTTAACAGGCCAAACTAGAGCAACTAATTGATGGATATATATTTAAACTTAAGAGCACAGAATATTTTAAAGGCACTTAATATTAGAAATTTTTAAAATATGCAACATTAAAGAAAAAATTTAATTAAAATATACAATTATAAAAGAAAAGGGAATGAGTATCAAAACAAAAGTAAAATTTTCTGCTTTTAGAAAATTTTTAGCCTTGTAAAACAATCAAACAAATATTACACAATACTCTCAAATGATTCAAATAATGAACAGAAATAAAACACAGAGGCTGATGGATGAACAACAGTAATAAATTTTAAAACAAATGATAATGCAAGCAATAATAAATTCTAGTTGCAGACTACTGTGTTGTTATGATAACTCTCTTATGCACAAGAATCTCTAATTTTAATGCTTCTTTGATAATCTGGAATTTTTCCTCCACAAGACAATTAATCTTTTTTTTTTTTTTTTTTTTTTTTTTTGTTATCAAGCATCAATTAATGCATTCTAAAATAATTTAGTAATATTCCTAAATATAAAAACTACAATCCTGAGATACAGGAATGAAAAATTAAAAAATTAATTTTAGATGACAACATCTCATCCATACAATAAAGAACAGACATGACACAAAATATACAACTGAAAATCAAACTGAAACATTTACATTCATGCAAGTATATTTGCATGTAGGCTAAGAAACAATAGTTCCTTTTTAAGAAACAACGTTGCTAGTATGATTGAAATTTAAAACACTCCAGTAGATTTGCATTTACAAGTTCAATTACACAACGTTTATGTGAAATTCAGGTTATTACCTTTTAATGGGCATCTAAAAATGCTTCTAATTTTTTATGCATTAGTCCTTTGTATGGTATTTCATGCATTCGAATGACTTGGGCACACAGACATTGCAAGTTTAGGTACCTTAAAGGATAAATGTCTGAAGAAGCAGTATCAGTACTTTGGACTAACTGAAGAGGAGTTTTCCTTTCATAATTACAAAGATCAAGATGAGCTCCATGCTCTAAAAGAGCTTTAAATATTGATTCTGCACAAGGCTTGTTCATTGCTGCTACATGAAGCGGTGTATTGTGACTAAAATCTACAGCATTAGGGCAAGCACCAACTTCTAACAGAAGATCCACAACTTGAGGTGAAGGAAATGTACACACAGGATACCTTCCAATTAAAGATGAGTCTTTGAAACAAGCAAGATGCAAAGGAGTCCAACCATTACGAGCACGAGCATTCAATCGAACTAACCTATAAACAGCTTGTTTTAGCTCTAAATCATTTCCATTTAGCTCGGACTGTAGCTGACACATAAGTCCCACTAAATGCATTGCAATAATAAGAGTACGATGAAATACATCTTGTTGTTTCTTCTCATGTGGCATTTTCAAACCAGCTTCTATTTCATGTAGAACTCGCTGAAATACATAAAGCATGTGATTAAAAGAAATAATTGAATTACTTCTTGAACGAGTCCAGGCTTCAGACATCATGTATGAAAACAACTCTACAAATGAAAGGAAGCTACTCTGGGTCATTGGACTCAATGGTTCAAGCTCCTCTTGCTGTATACGTAATGCATACATCCACAACTGTATACAGCGATCAAAATTACCATTATCAGCATAAGCAGCACCTCGGTATCTGACATAATAAGTAGTATCTGGATGACGAGGACCAAGAATTCTTTCTCTTACAAGTAACGCTTGCATTCGCATCTCGTCAGGATCATCAACCAATTCTTCTAGTTGAGCAAATGTACGGAATTCGCTAGAACCTATATAAGCTGTCATTGGAGAGGCTATCTCTGGTTTCACCAGAGGACAATCAGGATCCTCATATCGCAATTTCATTGCACGGTGCCAACATTCAAGGGCCATAATCATGTCCCTTTTTTTATCCAAATATGTGGCCCCTAATAATTCTACAGCATTCACTTTATCTTCCTTTGGGCACTGAAATTCTTCGATAAAGAATTCTACTATTTCTGGATTACCAGTAACTGCTGCAGATAATAAAGGTGAAACACCAGAAGCATCAACATCAATTACAGCACCATGCTGCAAAAGCATTTTAAGTATATCCAAGCTACCAGATTCAGCACAATCATGTAAAGCAGTATTACCTAAAGAAAGAACAAATTACAAACATTAACATGTGCTCTATAAAGATAAATTTTAAATAAAATGCACTTTTATCTCATAAAAGTCACATTCATGTTGCTACAGCCTACATTCCCAGTTGTTTTATGTACTACTCTAATTGCAAAACATTTTTATGCATTTAGAATAAATCAAGAATGCAATTTAATACAGATAAGCAATGCATTTTACCTTGCCTTAATTTAGAGTAGAAGATTTGTAATGATGTCATTTATACTGTACACATGAATTTTTATTTGTATTATTATCAGTTTTAAACTGACTTCTAACAGTATCTAACACAATGGCTGACCAGCATAATAACAACAAACTAAACATAAACAAAATACATCTCAAACATACCAAGTACAATTTCACAGGTCAACGCCCTGGTTTTGTACCAATGCAACTAAAACAAGGAACAGAAATGTTCACTGTACAGCCTTATATTTATCCTCGAGAAATATCTCAAGCTATGAAATTATAACCCAATTTCAAAGTCATAAATATATCAGAAAGAAATTCAACCTATCAGTGGTATGAGAATATTTCACTTATCCTTGTTTCTGTAATCATATATTTTATGTTTTCTTTCTTCTTGTTTTGAATTTTATTCTTATCTATAACGAGTTATTGCAACTTGTAATTTTTTTAAATATCTAATTTATCATAATAATAGCCCCAAAATACAAGAGTAGTGATAGAAACTGCTGATGTGGTACTAATGCTATGAAAATAAATGAATCTTATCTTTTCTAAGACCAAAACAATGCATTATGCAAACACTGTGCTTCTTCACTTCCCCCTTTTTTATATGAATTATGTTAAAATGTATTAATTATTAAGAATTAATTTTCGACCAAGCTCCTCATAGCTTAGCGCTAAAGACGCAGGACTCAAAACCCGAAGGTCCCGGGTTCAAAACCCATCAACGACGAGATGCCTCATAATTGGTTTTTATGTAAATTTCCTTCTTATTCTTCCAGAACATTCTAGGTTTGGAATGTTCCAGCATGTTCACCAACAGTATATAAATAGCTCTTCATTCAGTTCGAGTTAATAAAAAGTCTTGGGTTTAGTCTTGAGTACTTGCCTCATTTGTAGAATCCCCTCATCTACGCGACAGTTTGGTGGAGACGCCGAGTATTTCTCAGTTACTACGGCAGAGTTACGTCAAAACCTGCGGATTCGAGGACTTCCTCCTGAGTTTGGACTCTCACAGGATTCGCGTAAAAGATCGAGAAAGATAGTTGATGAGGAGGAAACCGAGCAGAATCCTCAAGCAGCAGCTAGTTCTGCTTCGACTAATATCGCACCAATACCGATCCTGACGTACCAACTACCCAGAAGCCCATGTATATTCACCGGGGACAGCCAAAAAGTTACTAACAGATGGCTCAAGGACTTTGATCGAATCGCCAACTATAACCACTGGAATGAGAATGATCAAATGTGTCTGGCGAACGTCATTTTTTACCTTGGCGGAACCGCTAGACAGTGGTTCGATAATAATGAAGACATATTTACCAGTTGGACAGTTTTCAGGACTGCTCTTAAGAACACCTTTTCCCGAACAGCTGATGTAAAGCGCCAAGATGAACGAGTACTACTCACACGTGCCCAGCAAATCGATGATGTCTGAAGCTTAAATTCAAGATGTTCTCGCTCTCTGCCTAAAAGTCAACCCATCCATGTCTGAAGATGAGAAAGTGGCCCATCTCATGACAGGTATAGCTGAAGACTTGTACCAGGTCCTGTCGTCCGAGGACTATGGCAGCGTCAATGCCTTCATGAAACGCTGCTGACACATAGAAAGTCTTCGATCACCCGATCACGATTCCAGAGGCTGCCTAATGTCTCTGCGGTGTTGGCCGATGTGGACGCCGATGAACTAAGGTCTATAGTGCGCACCATCGTCAGGGAAGAGATTTAGAAGATCCTGCCACAAGTTCCGGGCTACACGGAAATAGAACCTGTAGTACCAAATGACATAGCATCTGTAGTCCGGGAAGAGGTTATAGAGGAGCTGGCAACACTCACAGGAGCAGGGAGAAGAAAAAACACTACCCAACGTTCACTTCCAGTTAGGTCGCAGACAAGACGTGAAGCCAGCCAGTGAACTGCTCCACAACGTAGAACAGATCTGTGGAGGACTGACGATAAAGTGCCTCTCTGTTTTCATTGCAGATGCCCTGGACATGTTCTGAGGTACTGTAGGGAAAAACGGCCAGATATTTGAAAATGCAACGGCAGATATTTGAAAATGCAAGAGCCGCAAAGATGTCCAACCCTCGACGGGACAGGGATACTGAATCTACATACGGCTTCGACGGCGAATACGCACAACCCAGTTCTTCTCGAATAAGGAGCAGTTCACCTTATCCGTGACGCTCTCTCAACCGCTGACAATCACAGTCACCAGTACGCTGTTCCCCACCCCGAATCAATGAGGAAAACTAGCTCAAGGCAACCTGTACAGGAGGTGAGGCCGCAGTTGAAGAAAATCCTCCGACGTACACCACAGCCAAGTTGAAAAAGAATAACACTTTTATCACCGTGAACGGACAGTGTGTGAAAGCCCTTGTTGATCCGGCTGCCGATTATTCTGTCATATCCGAAAAGTTACGTCGGCAGCTAAATGCTCCTATGTTTGAGAATGGACCTGTATTGAAAACTGCCTGTGGTAAACCTGTAGCCGCCTTGGGACGCTGGTATTAAAAGTTGATTTGAATGGGACTAAGAAGCCGTTTGAATTCCTTGTGTTTCCTGAATGTAGTCTTCAAATGATACTTGGATCGAACTTTTTCCATGCCTCCGATGCCATTATCGATTGTGGAAATCAAGAACTAACACTTGAAGAAATCCTTCCAGGCAATGAATATTTAAATAAGTCAGAGCCTTCCTTGTTTGCAGCAACCAATTATGTAATCGAAGCAAACACCGCAAAGCGAATATGTGCCCTGAATTCAGAACTACGCTAAGCAGATGGAGAGATTCAGAACTACGGTAAGCATTGTTGGAAATAGGTTTCTGATGTGCGAAAAAGAACTATCAATACCAACTTCAATTGTCACTATAGAGGATGGTTGTGGTAAATTATGGGTAACTAATTGTTCTCGACGAAGCCAACTGATACCGAAAGAAATGAATGTAGTCTGTTTAACGACCATAAAAAATGACGCTATTTGCTCCCTAAGTGGTCAGACTCCAGAAGATTCCAAGAGACGTAGGTCCAGGAAAATGTTATCTCAAGAAAACTTTAAAAAAAAATTTCGATACTGATTTGACCAATGATGAGAAAGATGAGCTGATAAGTTTAGTGACATTTTTTACTTTAACAGTACTGCGAAAAAATCCTGATGCAATGCGGTGAAGCACAAGATTGATACAGGTGACAGTGCACGAATCAAACAAAGGCCATACTATGTGTCAGCCACTGAGAGGCCTGTGATTGCAGACAAAATGCAACGAATGCTAAAAGAAGATGTGATACAACCATCAGACAGTCCATGGTCAATCTCCAGTTGTGCTTGTGAAGAAGAAAAACGGTGAATGGCGTTTTTGTGTCGATTACAGAAAATTGAACAAGGTAACTAAAAAGAAAGTCTATCCATTACCTCACATCAATGATGCTTTGGACTGCCTGGCTGGTGCACAAATTTTCTCTTATGATGGATCTGAAGTCAGGCTACTGGCAAATAGAGGTTGATGATAAAGACAGAGAAAAGAGAGCTTTTATAACTCCAGATGGTCTCTATGAATTTAAAGTCATGCCGTTCGGATTATGCAATGCTCCAGCCACATTTGAATGGATGATGGACACGATACTAAGAGATCTCAAATGGAATATTTGTCTTTGCTACCTCGACGACATAATCGGTATGCACCTAATTTCGAAGAACATCAAAAGCGTTTGAGGAAAATACTGAAATGTATCCAAAGAGTAGGACTGACGCTAAATTCCAAGAAATGTTCATTCGGTAAAAAAAAGCTGACTATACTGGGACACTTAGTCGAGCAATATGGAATACATCCTGATCCACAAAAGGTAGAGGCTGTAGCAAAGTTCCCTGTTCCGAAAAACATCGCTGATGTCCGAAGTTTTCTGGGCTTGTGCTCTTACTACCGACGATTTATCAAAAATTTCGCAGATATCGCAAAGCCCCTGCATGACTTGTTGAAGAAAGATGCACAATTTTCTTGGAACGTGTTATAGATTGAATCTTTTGCAGTGCTCAAAAGACTGCTGACCAGTGGCGCTGTTTTGGGACATTTCAGCCCAGCCGCAGAAAGCAGAATACATTCTGACGCTAGCAGCTATGGCATCGGTGCAATATTGGTTCAGATCCAGGATGACAAAGAAAGACCAATAGCCTATGCATCCAGGTCCCTTGCTGCAGCTGAAAGGAACTATTTCACCACCAAAAAAGAATGTCTTGCCGTCATCTGGGCAATTAGTAAATTTAGGCCATACCTCTATGGAAAGTCACAGACACCCTTCATGGTAGTCACAGATCACCACTCTTTATGTTGGCTAGCCAATATTAAGGATCCGTCCGGAAGACTTGCATGGTGGGTTCTCAGGTTGCAGGAATACGACATAAATATCGTCTACAAGAGTGGTCGCAAACACTCTGATGCAGATTCACTATCAAGGAAGCCTTTTATAGAACCAATAATTGAGAACAATGAAGACAACCCTTTTTTTGCAGCGATCGTAGATTACAGAAAAGAGCAGCAGAAGGACCAATGATTAAAATCCATCATTAAAACTCTCAAGAGAGGTGACGCATATCAAAATTATCAAATAAGAAATGGTATACTGTACAAAAGAAGCTATGATCCTATGGGACAGCAATGGCTCTTGGTGGTACCAAAGCAACTTCATAGCGAGGTTCTAAGAAGTCTTCATGATGCTCCAACCACTGGCCATTTCGAATTTTCCAAAACGTATGACCAAATAAGGAGGAAATAGCGTTGGCCAGAGCTATATGGAAGCACACGGCGGTATGTATCACACTGCCGAAGACAGAAATCGCCGCCACAATGTCCACCAGGACAGCTTCATCCGATAAAACCCCGATACACCGTTTACCAAAATTGGAATAGATCTACTTGGACGCTTTCCTGTTACTCGAAATGGGAACTCGTGGATTATAGTTAGCACAGATTACCTTACTAGATTTAGTCACAAGGCAATAAATACCTACAGCTGAGGGCGCCGAAATTGCCAAGTTTATAGTTGAAGAAATTGTACTGAAGCATGGTGCCCCCAAAGAAATGATAAGTGACCGAGGGCACAACTTCCTATCCAAAGTTGTTAAAGAAGTAATTTATTTATGCAAGACGTCTCATCTTCTGATGACTGCTTACCACCCTCAGACCAATGGCTTAACTAAAAGATTCAATAAGACACTAGCAGACATGTTATCCATGTACATAGACGTTGAACAGAAAAACTGGTATACTATTCTACCATTTGTAACCTATGCGTATAATTCAGCCAAACAAGACACAACGGGATTCAGTCCATTCTTTCTCATTTATGGCAGAGATATCCAGACTCCTCTTGACGTAATTTTCCCATACAGTATCGAAGATTCTGAAGATAGTCATGCGCAACATCTGATCATTAAGAGCAAGAAGCTAGACAGCTTGCAAAACTCCACATTCTTAAAACACAAACCACAGACAAGCGCCGATACGACAAGAGGCATTGACCTGTCGGCTACAACATCGGAGACTTTGTCTGGGTCGTCACTCCACGACAAATCGTTGGGTTATCCGAGAAGCTCCTAAGACGTTACTTTGGACCGTATCGAATAACACGACAGCTCTCTGACGTAACGTACTAAGTAGAAAGTATGGAACAAAATAAGAAATGACGGAATTCAAAAGATATCGTTCACATATTGAGACTGAAGCCCTATCTTGATCCAAAAATACAACTAGACGATGAAAGAAAGCCCAATATTTCCAGGAGACCTTTTACAAGAAGCCAAACCAGATCACATTGCTTCTTCCTAAGAAGGAGGAAATATAGCAAAAATTGCTCTTTTGGACCGAGCTCCTCATAGCTTAGTGGAGAAGACGCAGGACTCGAAACCTGAAGGTCCTGGTTTCGAAACCCATCAACAGCGAGATGCCTGATAATTGGTTTTTATGTAAATTTCCCTCTTGTTAATGTTATCTTATTCATGTAAATTTCCTTCTTATTCTTCCAGAACATTTCCAATTTGGAACGTTCCAGTATGTTCACCAGCTGTATATAAGTATCTCTTCATTCAGTTCAAGTTAATAAAAAGTCTTGAGTTTAGACTTGAGTACTTGCCTGTTCATTTGCAGGATCCCTTCATCTATGCAACAATATTATTCATATAATGTGTTATAGAGTACAGAATATTTTTTATTATTTTGTTTAATTTTAGTAATGGCTTACTAATTATCATTAGTAATTGGCTAAATGATTACTATTTATATTACATGAATATTGTATTTTACACAATATTTGTTATTATCCTTGATTTTAGAAATTCATGTTAAGTCTTGCGACATGTTACCCATGGATTGAGCAGCACTACTATAGAAGGAATAGAAGGCAACAAACACTGTGTGGTTATCCTATAAAATGGTAACCACAGCCATAGAGAAGGAGAAATATGACTGGTAAACACTGATGCCACTTATGATGGTTAAGATGCTATTAATACAAGAGAGGAATCACTGTAGTGATAACTGTACTGGTGATGTAGTAATGATGTACTGATGTTTCTGTCTAGTGCTGTTTAGTAAATAAAATGAGACAGTTGTTGATAACATTTTAAGGAAAATTAATGTGAGATCATGAGGATCATCAGTATCAGAAACAGTTAAAAATAGACATTTAAAAGATTCAAATATGCATTAAAATATGTATTATCACTAGTATAGTAGCAAAATTTTAAAAGTTTCCATATTTTTTCTATAAATTCATGAAAGTTTAAAAAAAAATAAATAACAAGTTTCGAAAACTTAAAAAGCTTTTTTTTTATTTTATTTTTATTTTTATTTATTTATTTATTTATTTATTATTATTATATTTATTTAGGTACATATATATATATATGAAAGAACATTAGAATTGATTCCTAAATTCAAACAGAAATGAAAATAAAAGAGACAGACCTTTTAAACTTTTTCTGTTTAAGTTTGCTCCACATTCCAGTAAATATTTTGCAATTTCAAAATGACCTTTGTAACAAGCAATCATCAGACAGGTATGTCCATGTTTGTTAGCAATTTCAATGTCAGCACCATGTTCTATAAGGTATTTTGCAATTTGAAAATGCCCATCAAAGCAAGCAGCTCGTAGAGGAGTGGAATTAGTTTTCGTAGTACTATTGACTGAAGCTTTAAAAAGAAGGAGAGTTTTGACTATATTTAAATGTCCAGCAGCAGCCGCACACCAGAGCGGTGGAGCACCTTCAATCGTTTCTCCATCAAATGCTACAGAACCAACCTATATAAAAAATTTAAATATGAAACCAGGTAATGTAATTTTTACACAATTTTTTAACAAAGTAAATTTTATTTTTCATTTATATGATGTTTTATACTTTTCACAGAATGTTTAATAATGCAGCTAAATAAAATATTTAGTATTCATCAGGTAATTAATCTTTTGCAAAAATATTAAACAAAAATAAATAATTTTTCATACATTTCTGTCAACCGTATTTACAAGAATTAGATACATTAAATCTACAAATGATACCCTGACAGAAAATTGTATGTGTTAATTTGAACTTTTAAAAGTTTTCAAACCTGAAAAATACAATAATATTAACTATTCCAGTGTTAATCAGTTTTCATACAGTAAATAACATATTATCAGCATAAAAATAGCAACAAGCATGACAGCACAAGAATGAAGTGAATACATAAAGTATTAAACATATTCATGTAAAATTATATTTTCACTTATCTCAATAACACACGTTATACAGAATGTTTCTAAAGTTGCTATATGTTTCAAATAACATCTAACGAATTAAACTTGTAATCTGCACCCTTCCATTATATTTTCAGGTTCATGTGAGAGTTTCCTTTAACTACAGAAATAAAACTGATGAGATAAATAGCTCTGCACAGTAACTTCTGCAATACTTAATACCTAGTAGCTGCTGTGAATACATTAAGTTAAAAATCTTCCAAAAAAGGAAAATACAAGAGAAATGGGACATTTAAATATATACATATATGAAGAACAGTATAATAATAACCTAAAATATTTCATAAAAAGTACAGTAACTAAAAGTAAAATTTAATTATTAAGCATTCTTGGTCCTGTGGACGGCTTCCTGTAGACCGGCAGAGAGCCACTGTTAATCCTATACAAAAACCAGGCAAACAAGCAAGCTCCCTTCAGAGTTATAGACCTATAGCCCTTAGGAATGGAAACTAATGGAAAAAATTATTCTCTTGTAAAACTTCATTATTTTATGGATATCAATCATCTGTTACCACCTAAACAATACGGTTTTAGAAAAGGGCATATTACCACAGATCAAATCCTTTACTTTTCCCAAAACATCTGGGATGCCCAAAACCTTAAAACCAACTCGACATTACGTGGCGGTCTTACTGGACTTATCTAAGGCCTTTGATACTGTCTGGAAGGACAAACTTATTGTTAAAATCCACAACACTTTCAACAGTAGGGGTTCTGTCTTAGTTTGGATAGCTGACTTTCTGCACCCCATTAGAGTTAAATTTATAAAGACCTACTAGGATCCTTTTAGACTGGAGCAGGGCATTCCTCAGGGATCAGTCTTAAGCCCTACACTATTCTCCCTGTTTTTGGCCAGTGTAGAGAAAAGGAAACCAAAACTTGTTGATATTGCTATCTTTGCTGATGATATTGTTCTTTGGCTTTCAAGCACAGATGTGAGTAACATCGAAATGATCCTTTTGGTACCACTTTGATAGCAATCTCTTGAGTTTGCAACAGAACATAAATTGACTTTCAATCCAGCTAAATCAATAGTGACCTTTTTTATTACTAATAAACACTTGTATAACTACAAACCAAAGTTGTATTTAGAAGCTCAGACCCTCACGTATGAAAAACATCCCAAATACCTTGGATTCATCCTTAATCCGGAATTCAATAGCAACAGACATAACTATTTGGTTTTGAAAGCCCATAAGCGCCTAAACATCCTTAAATATCTAGCTGGCAGAAATTTATTCCTGTGCGTCTGAAACCAATCTTCAGAAATTAGAACGTGTACAATAGTGTCACTCGAATTATTCTTGGACTCAGAAATAGCTGCCCTTCTGGTATAGCCTTGTTTGAGACCAACTTACAGCCACTGCATATTAGAAGAAGAGACAATTATTTAAGTATTTCAATAAAATTTACAGCTACGGCTCCCAAAATTGTACTTCATTGTATTTGCATATTGGCACAGCAAAGACTCAAGAAATACAACCCTGTTAGCTTGGCAGAAACTCAGAACCTGATCTCTCGGGAGGTTGTACCTCTATCTCTAAAATCCTTCACTGATCCCTCAGTGGGACTACCGAGAGTTTTCTTCCACTTTGATCTGAAATCCACTGCAAACAAGCAAACTCACCATAAAGACCTTCTTAGGCAACTGTCTCTAGAAATTATTAGTTGCTTTCCTAAAGATGCAGTGCAGGTCTATATTGATGGTAGTCATACAGAAGATTGTATTGGCAGCAGCATCCTTTACTAAAACCCCTCACTTTGAAACTACAATAAAGCAAAGCAACCCTGACACTTGCTCTGTCTTCAGGAGTGAGTTCATTGCGATTAATGTGGGGCTTGAAGCCATCTTGGCTTATGATATTGTGTTTTTGGGGAACTACGGATTTTATCGGACAGCCACAGTGCACTACATTTCAGTGGCTGATCATATGCATGTGATGAAATCAGCATATCTATTCTGCTTAAACTCTCAGATCCACGACATCCACCTCCAGTGGATTCCATCACATGTTATTATTAGTGGTAATGAGGTCTTTGATAAATTTGGAAAAGAGGGTAGTGAAAATGAAACGGTCACTGGCTCCTCACTTTCTTACTTACCAAGAACTTTTCTCAAATGAAAGATCTAAATTTAATATAAATATGGCATATTCCACCTATGCACCAATGGTACATAGGAACATCCCCTGGCTCCCTACTGGAAATCAAATGTGACTATGGCTCCCAGATTGCTCTGGCTAGACTAACAAGCGGCCATCTTTCCTTTGACAGTGGCAGAAAAATCCACCCCATGTGTAAAAAATGCTGTGACCATCCAGCTTCACCGGATCATATACTGGGTTGCATCAAACTTTCTAAGGAGGACTTAACATCCAATCCCCTCACAGTTATTGGTTTTTTGACGGTCATCAACCTTCTGGAGCTATCTGACATATGTCAGATCTTTCAAGGATAAGCAACACCAACAACACAACAAAATTTAATGTCAAGCTTTATAGTTTTCAGATAAAATTTTTAGAATGGAAGACATCATGACTAAAAATATGGAGGAAGACAAACTTTATTTATTGTGTATGATGCATTTAAATACTTTAAATCAGAATGAGAATTAAAATGAAACATATAAAAATTTTAAAAAATTATAATTATTATCACAAAACACTATTTTTTTAATACACATGGCCATGTTTTATGATACAGTATGATAATGAGAGTAAGTATTCTATGCAATACTCACTTTTGGTCCAGTTTTGAAATTTCTGGACCAGGAAAGGGACATATCTACCCCAATTTAAAATATTTTGTGGTTTGTCCTCAATAGTATGATGATCTACATCATTTTATTTTAAACAGGCACACAATAACTATAAACTTTATACTTTAATTTGTTATTCTTTCTACAGAAAGCTTTATGCATTTGTTTAGCAAAGCATCAGAAAAATTAAGATTACAGGTGATAAACATTCTCTCAAGAACAATACCTGGCTAACAAAGTAAATTTGGATTTTATTATCAACTGCTGAAATTGTACTGCCATTTAAAAATTAAGCTAGAAGCTCGAACTTTTAGATTTTGCAATTAATTTTGCTTGGATAACCACTGCATATTTTGCATATTTTAAAACCAGCATGCCCTCCAAAAGCTGGGCATCTGGTGTCTATGATCCTATACCACTTTTTCCATCAATATTTTAATTTCTTTTAGCACAACAGATTATCATTTAACATATTTCTAATCAATTTCAATATGATTTAAAGCAATATAACTGAGTTAAGCTGAGACAGTGTCATCATCAAAACCATGATAGAATTTAGAAATCTATTCATTTCTACACTATATTAACATCTGTTACTTACATAACTTTCGAAATGTAACTCTCACTTTCCATAAAATAATATACAATGTCTTAAACTAGACTTACACAGAATAAGCAAAAAGACTTTCCCTGATTACAAAAATTTTACATGAAATAACAACAGAAGATGGAAATGTGAAATTTTTATCATTATGTAGTCCAATGGTTAAATTTGGTCACCATTACTCTTACTGAAACAAAACTTAGGGTTAAAATTCAGAATAATCTCTCAGAGCCTATTGTTGTTTCAAATGGACTCAGGCAGGATGATGCATTGGCCTACTTGCTTTCTACCCTTGCCCTCCAAAAAATCATAAAAGACTCCAACATTAATACTCATGGAACTATTTTTAACAAATCTGTTCAGATTTTTGCATTTGCCGATGATATTGACAACTTCACTAGCAGAAAAATGAAGATTACAATACAATACAGTGAATCGATTTTTTTCAAATATTTTTAATTTAATGTGGAAGCAATTTTTTCCATGTACCTTCATTTAATGAACAAACTGGAAACCTCAGAATCTTACTGTTTGAACTACTGAATAGAACAGAAAAAACAAAATCTTTTAAACAAAATTTTTAATTTGAAAATGCACCCATTACAATGTTTTGATATTTTCATAGATTACAAAACACGATCTTTTACCTTATTTTAAGATAATAATATTTAAAAAAGATAGCCTGTCCATTAAAAAAAGATATACACAGTACAAAGTCCGAGATCCGGACGTCCAATAGCCTGAATGATCTAAAATCCGGACTTCAAAGCCACCACCAACTTTGGGGGGTGGAGGGGGTATGCTTTATGCATGTGCATTTGACTCCCCCCATAATAAAACATGTGGAGAGTTTCAATTCTTAATTTCACTTCTGCACTAAATTACACCTCCTTACTCAAAGAACAATCATTTTAGCATAAATTTGTGTGATCAATAATTTGGCTCGGTAGCTGCATATCTGCTTGGCATACATTTCAAACATATTACATACAAACATCGTTAACTTTACTATATATCCCTGAAAGCCAAACGGGTGAATCATTATTATAATTTTGCTTCCATCACTGCATGTTTATCAATACTTGATAACTTCAGTAATGATTCATGCAGCGAAGCATAAACAACTTTTTTATATTAGTAACTGCA